CAAAGAACTGAAATCCCACCTTTGCAATTCTAATTTAGTTTAAATAAAATCTGCAAAGTAAGATGTTGGTATTGGGAAAAGTAACCTTGACACAATGTTGGATTGTCATAAAAACCTATCAGGGCCTTCAGGTAATTAAATCTGCTATTTTTACCCAGTGTGGACCTACCCCAGATTCACAACAACGTAGTTGGCTCTGGACTGGCCTCTGCAGTGGCCCAGACAGCCACTTAGTTGTGTTGAACCTGCTGCAAAGAATCATCACACAGACTGCGTCAGGTCAAAAAGTGACAGATCCACCATCACCTTCTCAAAGACAAAGACAAAGGCAAACAATGGCAGCCTTGCCAGCAACACCAAATTCCTAAAATGAATCAGAAAGTAATAGTAACTCTTACTGGATCATTTGTGTCAGTGTGTCCATCTTAGTTTCTGGGCTCCACGCAATAGAATCCACCCGTATTCCTCGATGAAATGTCTGAAGTGTCTTGAATTCCATACCTTTAATTTCCATATCTTCTTCCTAAAAAAGATTAGAATGCAATATTCATAATATTCACAAGCTGATACAGTCCTGAGTTGATAGTGTCCTAGCCTCTGAGTCAAAAAGTTATTGGGTTCAGATGTTACCCTTGAACTGGGCCACTTCAAGGGCAGCTAAGAGTCAACCATATCGCTGTGGGCCTGGAGTCACATGTAGGCCAGACCAGGTAAGGACCACAGATTTCCCTCCCTAAAGGACATTCGTGAATCAAATGGAGTTTTACCATATTGGACAATAGTTACATGGTCACCAATACTGAGATTAGTTTACAACCCACATTTTATTAACAGAACTTAATTTCCATGACTACTGTGGTGGGATTTGAACCTGTGACCCCAGAGCACAAGCCTCAGCCTCTAGGTTACTAATCCAGCAATAACTTTGAAATATTCAGCCCATTGAGCCTACTCCACTGTTCAATGAGATCAAGGCTGATCATTTATCTTCACAGCTTTCTCTTGTACTATTCCCATATCCCTTGAAGTCATGAACAGACATTGATAACCCTCTGGCTACTAATGTCTGCCTTCCTGGCATGAAAGATCCCAAACTATTATTTTGAAGAAGTGTGCTAGGAGATTTCCCTGATGGGCATATTAATCCCTCAAACAATACAATTTATAGTGAAAAAATACAAACCATGCAATTACTGCCTCATTATGGTTCACAGGCTCATCCTATGTGCAAATTGGCTTTTACTGTTCTTATTGCACAAATATAGCCATAGATATCAAAAAAAGGGAGATAGTGGCATTATAGTAATGTCCTTTCTGTCCTTTAGGGAAGGAGATCTGTAGCACTGGCCTGGTTTGGACACCACGTGACCCTGTATCCATACAGTCAAAAAGACTCTTCAACCCATTGTGTCCGTGCCAGTCACCAAACATCCATCTATTCTAATTCTATTTTCCAATACTTTATCTTGTATGCTATGCTTTTTCTAGTGCTCATCTAGATACTTTTCAAATGTCTTGAGGGCTCCCACCTCCACCAGCCTTTTAGGTAGTGAGTTCACGGTATCCATCTCCCTGTGGGTCAAAATGATCTCCTCAAATCCTTTCTAAACCTCCTGCTCCCTGTCTTAAAATTGTGAGCCCTGATTATTGACGCTTCTATTAAAGGGAACTGTTTCCACATATCTACCCTGTCTAAGCCTCCTTAACTTTGTACACCTCAATCAGGTCCCCCCAGCCTTCTCTGTTCTAAGGAAAACAACTTCAGCCTATCCAAAATAAAAACCAAAGAACTGCGGATGCTGTAAATCAGGAACAAAAACAAAGTTGCTGGAAAAGCTCAGCAGGTTTGGCAGCATCTGTGGAGGAGAAAACAGAGTTAACATTTCGGGTCTGGTGACCCTTCCTCAGAATTGATGGTGGCCGGGAAAACGTCAGTTTATATGCAGAAAATAGGGAGGTGGGTGGGGTAGGGAGTAAACGATAAGATAGAGCCCAAAGAGAGAGAAAGACAGTTGGACAGACAAAGGAGTTGCTAACGATCAGGCTGGGAGGGTGAATGGTTGTTAATGAGAACTGTTAGTGACTAACAACAAGGGGGTGTGTAGTGGCAGGCTATGTGGTAACAAGGCCTGGTGTGTGGAGTGGGGGGGCTGGCACATGGGAGGGTTTAGGCCCTAAGATTATTGAACTCAATATTGAGTCCGGAGGGCTGTAGGGTCCCCAAGCGGAAAATGAGGTGTTGTTTCTCCAGCTTGCGTTGGGCTTCACTAGAACACTATAGCAAGCCAGAGACAGAGATGTTGGCCGGAGAGCAGGGTGGTGCCTTGAAGTGGCAGGCAACAGGTAGTTCAGGGTCTTTTTTGCGAGCAGAACGTAGATGTTCTGCGAAGCGGTCACCAAGTCTACGCTTCGTTTCCCCAATGTTGAGGAGACCACATTGTGAGCAGCGAATGCAGTAGACTAGATTCTTGGAAGTGCAGGTGAAGTGTTGCTTCACCTGGAAGGTATGTTTGGGCCCTTGGATAGTGGGGAGGGAGGAGGTAAACGGGCAAGTGTTGCACCTTCGCCGGTTACAGGGGAAGGTGCCGTAGGGGTGTGAGGAGGTGTTGGGGGTGAAGGAAGTGTGGACCAGGGTGTCCCGGAGGGAACGGTCCCTGCTGAAGGCGGACAAGGAAGGGGAGGGGAATATGTGTCTGGTGGTGGCATCTTGCTGGAGGTGGCGAAAATGGCGTCTGATGATCTTCTGGATGTGGATGCTGGTGGGGTGGTAGGTGAGGATAAGGGGAACCCTATCGCTGTTGCAGGAGGGAAGAGAAGGGGCGAGGGTGGAAGTGCGGGAGATGGGTCGGACCTGGTTGAGGACCCTGTCGACAACGGAGCTGGGGAATCCTCGGTTGAGGAAGAGTGTGGACATTTCGGAGGCTCCCTTGTTGAAGTTGGCCTCATCTGAACATATGCGACGGAGACGGAGGAACTGAGAAAACGGGATGGAGTCATACCTTCCAGGTGAAGCAACACTTCACCTGCACTTCCAAGAATCTAGTCTACTGCATTCGCTGCTCACAATGTGGTCTCCTCTACATTGGGGAAACGAAGCGTAGACTTGGCGACCGCTTCGCAGAACATCTACGTTCTGCTCGCAAAAAAGACCCTGAACTACCTGTTGCCTGCCACTTCAAGGCACCACCCTGCTCTCTGGCCAATATCTCTGTCTCCGGCTTGCTACAGTGTTCCAGTGAGGCCCAACGCATGCTGGAGGAACAACACCTCATTTTCCGCTTGGGGACCCTGCAGCCCTCTGGACTCAATATTGAGTTCAATAATTTTAGGGCCTAAACTCTCCCATGTGCCAGCTCCCCCCACTCCACACACCAGGCCTTGTTACCACATAGCCTGCCACTACACACCCCCTTGTTGTTAGTCACTAACAGTCCCCATTAACAACTACTCACCCTCCCAGCCTGATCGTTAGCAACTCCTTTGTCTGTCCAACTGTCTTTCTCTCGCTTTGGGCTCTATCTTATCGTTTACTCCCTACCCCACCCACCTCCCTATTTTCTGCATATAAACTGACGTTTTCTCAGCCACCATCAGTTCTGAGGAAGGGTCACCAGACCCGAAACGTTAACTCTGTTTTCTCCTCCATAGATGCTGCCAAACCTGCTGAGCTTTTCCAGCAACTTCTGTTTTTGTTCAGCCTATCCAGCCTGATTTTATAGCTGAATCATTCCAGCCCAGGCAAATCCTGGTGAATACCCTCTACACCCTCTCTAGTGCAATCACATCTTTCCTATAAGGTGGTACCAGAACTGCACACAGTACTCCAGCTGTGGCCTGATGTTACATACAGCACCATCATAACCTCCCTGTTGTTGTATTCAATGCCTTGACTAATAAAGGCAAGCATAGAAATGTGGTTGACTCTTAACTGCCCTCTGTAAGCCACTCAGTTCCAGGGAGGACCAATAAATCCAGAAAATCCCGGAAACGAAAATAAACCGATTCATTAATTGTAAAGTGCCTAGGGAGTACTGCATCCATGCTATGTTTTGATCAGCTCAATTGTTGTTCGGTGGCCCTTACTCTGCATGCAACACCACCAAACTTAGTTGAAGGTAAAAACCCCAAAGAACGGTGGATGCTGGAAATCAGAAACTGCTGGTGGGGAAAAAAAACACTCAGCAGATCTGGCAGCATCTGTGGAGAACGCAGAGTTAACGTTTCTCGTTCACTGACCCTTCTTCAGAATTGATTTTAGCTAGGAAAAGGTTTGTAAAAATGCTGAAGATGGTGTGGGGGTAGAAGTAAACGATACGTGGAGAGGGAACCCAGAGAGAGAAAAAAAACATACTTGGGCAGACAAATGAGTAAAGGTCAGCCTCGGAAAATCAACAGCTAAACAAGAAAAAAGATTAGAATGGAAATCCTGTGGGAGAGAGGAGCAGAACTTCTTCAAGATGAGCACACCTCAAAGAGATGTAGCAGTGCAGCATGGTTTCTGTGGCCCTCGATGTGTTGCTACCTACTTCTCTTCCTTATCCCTTCCTCACCACATCCCTCTCCCCAAAACAGTCACACGCTCCCAGAAAAGAACCTGCCAGGGCAGCCCACCTGAAAGCGGCAGCTCCCTACCACGATGTAGTTGTCGCCTCCGTAGGCGACCAGGCTGCCAGTACCGCAGTCCTCGAAAGGGTTAAACTCCACCACGTGCACCGTCTCGTCGGTCGGCACCGTGTGCGTGGCGCCCCGCGATGCCGCCTCGTTAACCATCATATCCCCCCCCCCTTTCCAGTCCCGGAACCCGGGGGGATTGGAGAGAATCCCCGATGGAACGTTCAAACTCGCCCGGAAAGCCCTCGATGGAACGTTCAGACACGGCCACTCGCCGCTGATTGGCTGCCTCCGCTTCGCTTCCGGGAGGAAAGTGCAACATTGTAACGGCAACGCTCTGATTGGTTACAGCTGCTCCGGCCCGGGACTTTTAAATTGGCCTGGAGCTGGGTGTGGGTGAAAAGTCTGAGTGGGATCTACCTTCACCTTTAAGCTAGGAGGTTTGCTCGCAGAATAAGGTGCTGTGTTAGTGCTGACTTCTTTAGGCAGGGCTTTTTGGTGAGTGAGGCAGAATCAGTGAGAGCTTGAGCGCTGGCTTTGGAGATTGGGAGCAGCTATACGCAAGCGACAGTTGGTGAGTTCAAGAACTGAGGAGTCGCCCACTTTCAACTGCGAGCCTCAAATTGCCTGAATCATGGGTTTGAGCTGGAGAAAACGGCAAAATACTCGCGTTCGCCTCCTTATTACTAGCATTCCAGCGTATTCAAAGGGAAACTTGGCCGCCAAAAATAGTGAATGAAGTATTTTTAAGCACTACTGATATTGACGGCTTTTTTTTTAATGTCTCGCGGGAAAGGTATTGGTTAGTACATTACGTGAAGGTTTTTTTTTCTAATCACTTGTGGGATGTGGGCATTGCTGGCTGGGCCAGCATTTCTTGCCCATCCCTAGTTGCCCCTTGAGAAGGTGGTGGTGAGCTGTCTTCTTGAACTGCTGCAGTCCTCCTGCTATGGGTTGACCCACAATGCCCTGAAGGAGGGAATTCCAGGATTTTTGACCTAGTGACAATGAAGGAACAGTGATATATTTCCAAGTCAAGATGGTGAGTGACTTGGAGGTGGTGGTGTTCATATAGAGACTTAGACTTTGTTCAGTGTGGAAACAGGCCCTTTGGCCCAACAAATCCCCACCAACTCTTTCAGCATCCCACCCATTTCCCCCTACAACCCACCTAATCTACACATCCCTGAACACTATGGGCAATTTAGCATAGCCAATCCACCCAGCCTGCAAGTCTTTGGATAGTGGGAGGAAACTGGAGTGCATGGAAACCCAGGCAGACATGGGGAGAATGTGCAAACTCAACACAGAATTGAACCCAGGTCCCTGGTGCTGTGAGGCAGCAGTGCTACCCACTGAGCCACCATGCTGCCCTGAGTCATAGTCGCACATTCTGACCAAATATCCTAAATCTAATCCCATTTACCAGCATTTGGCCCAGACCCATGTATCTGATGCCCTTGTCCTTCTAGCTGGAAGTGGCTGTGGGTTTGGAAGGTGCTGTCTGAGGTTATATGGTGAATTTCCCAGGCTGTTTGTAACAACCTGGAGAAGTTCTAATTGAATAAATTCACTTTTGGGTGGGTTTTTAATGAAGAAAAAAAAACTGTTGCTGACCCTTTATTTATTGGTCGCCATTAAGTTCTGAAACGTAGCTCTGAACCATTGGGAACTCAAATCAGTCTTGGAACCTGATGAAGGGTCCTGACCCAAAAAGCTGCCTTTCGTGCTCCTCTGCTGCCTGACTTGCTGTGTTCCCATGGCCTGAAACTGTATAGACTTTGAGTCCACCTGATTTATTTTTTTTTCCCTCTCTCTAGCTAGTGACGTGGCTTTTATGTATGATATATCTCCTGGGAAGCCCACTTAGCTTACACAACCCTGGACACTCGGGGCAATTTGGCATGGCCAATCCACCTAACTGTACACCTTTGGACTATGGGAGGAAACCTGCACAGACAGGGGGAGAATGTACAAACTCCATACAGACAGTCACCTGAGGCTAGAATTGAACCCGGGTCCCTGGCACAGTTAGCTGCCGTGCTGCTCAGAAAGAGGGCACTGGTATGTTAGCTTTGTGCAAGCTCTCTGTTTATCAATTTAGTTCCACTCTTCCTGCTCCCAGTCACTGAAAATGATTAGTGTGTCAGTGGCTGGGCCAGCCCTTCAGAACTACTTCAGTGCTGAGCTGCTGCCTTGTACTGCTGTAGTTTTGGAGTTGTGGTTACAAATATGCTGTGGATATCCAGAATTTTGACCCAGCCACACAGAATGGAGGGTGATAATAGAAGGTGGAGTGTAGTTTGAAGTAGAACTAGAGGGATTAGATGCCTGACGACTGGCTGGAAGGTATATTCCCATGATGTAAAATTCTGACTGATTTACAGGCAAGGGTGTTCCCATGCATCTGTTGTTGCTGTCGTTCTAAATGGTTGAGGTCATGAGTTTGGACAGTGTTGTGGCAGGGCCTTGTTGATTTGCTACTGTGGGTTGGTGATGGTATATAATCTAAATTATTTTTTTGAAAGTTATTAAATCTACTTCAATCCTGCTCTATTTTACAGGTAATTCATTTTAGTGACCAAATTACAAAATTGATAAAATGGCTCATCAAGAAATGGTATATGGAAATGGTTAGATTTACTTTTTTTTTTTTTTTTTAAGAAATGCAAAGGGTCGTGGCTGGGGCTATACATTTGGCCCAGTAACAGACGATCTGCTGTCCCTTCATGTCTCCAAGGGATGGACTGATGAAGTACTGGCCTTTTTTCTTGGCAGTTCCCAATTATATCCAAACTCTCTATGCCAAATCATATGCCATTCCCCTTGGGCATTCTTTAAATTTATTGTCACTTTGCAGTATAAGACCATAAGATATAGTTGCAGAACTAGGCCATTCAGTCCATCAAGTCTGCTCTGCCTTTTGATCATAACTTATGTTTCTCAGCCCCAATCTCCTGCCTTCTTCCCGTAACCGTTGATCAAATTACTAATCAAGATCCTGTCTTAAAGGCACAGAATAACTTGGCCTCCACAGTCTTCTGTGGGAGTAAGTTTCATAGATTCACCACCTTCAGGCTGAAGAAACTCCTCATCTCTGTTCTAAAGGGTTGGCCCTTTGCTCTGAAACTGTCCGCCAGGTCCTAATCTCTCCTACTATTGGAAATGTCTTCTCTACTCTATTCAGACCTCTCCGTATTCTACAAGATTCAGTCACATTCCCATGCAGGATCCAGGAGCTAATTTCCTAAAGTTCTTGGAGTGCCATAATGACATGGACTGCTGTGATTCACGGAGAGTCACCAAGAATGGGCCTTGGCTACATCATCTAGAAACTAAAAATTCCAATCTTTATCATGATTTCACCATCTCCCCTGGTTGCCCTACTCCAGCTCTCCACCCACATTTGCAGGAGTTCTTCAACACTAGAGCAGTTATATAGTCTCCCTTCCTCTTCCCATTACTGGTAGGAATTAATATGGCAGGCCCTCAATTCGTGGTAGATTAACTTAATGTGTTCCCTTGCTGTCAAACAGTTGCTTAAGTTGTCAGTCCTGCTCCTGGGCAAGGAACTTGCACAAAGTCCCAGTCCAGTCACAAGTTGACAATGGGAATGTGCATGGCCTGTTTTTTTTTAGCTTTCTTTTTTCTGAACCTCACCATCCTGGTAGATTCGGGTCACAGGCCCATCTTGCAGCCTGCCTGCATTTGTATTCCCAGATCAGTGGAAATTAAAATTAGACAAGGTGTAAAGCAGGTGCCTGAACTGATGCTGTTCTGGCCAGATGTTTTAGGATAAAATTAGGATCTGTTATTTCAGAATGACAGCCTGTGACAGTTTAGAACTGTTTCACGTTAAAACTTGCATGTTGTATAAAATAACAATGACACTAGCTGACAACACTGAGCTAGTCAGAGATCTACAGCAAGGCTCTCTGGCTGATCATGGTCAAAAGCAACCAACTAACGATTCATAAACTATCTATTTTCTAAAACTTGACCCATTGTCTGTTATACCTCCAGTATTGCAAGTGCACATCTAAAATGCTACTAGAATATTAAGGATCTCTGCCTCCACCACCCTTGCAGGCAGTGAGTTGTTTGCTCTGATCCAGGGTTAGAAATGCTGCATGTTATGAGCTGACTTCTGAGCTGTGTAGAAGCAAAAGCCTGACTCTTGTAGGAAAATGGGTTCTTAGTGCCAAATTTGGCTCAGTTCTTTCATTAACTTCAATAATATCCTTTTTTTTTTGTTCACTTAACAATATGGCATTGACAAGATGATTTGATGAAAGCTGACTAAGAGGAGGATGAAAAAGTCCTATAATTGAGCATGCTAGATAGCAGAGATTAACTGAAACACTGTTCACAGGATCTGCTCATCAGAGTATCCATGAGTGGTCTCAAATTCACTTTGGACTTAGACCATTTCAGAGTGCACTTAAAAGTCAATTGCATTGCTTTTGGTCTGGAGTCACACATAGGTTGGACTAAGGATAGCAGATTTCCTTTAAGAACATTAGTGAATCAGATGGGAGTCTAGAAATCTGTTAGTCAATGAGAATAGCTTTTTATCCTTGATTTATTGAATTAATTAAATTGGATAGTATCCTTTGGCTGTGTTGGAATCTGAACCCACATCTCTGGATCATGAATCATGACATCTTGGTTTCTAGCTTGATATCCTATGCACTACAGATTCAACAGAAATGTTCAGAAGGGATGCACAAACCAAAAGGACAACTAGCAGTGTAAGACTTAGTGGATTTCTCTTTCAGAAATGCCAGGCAATGCATGATGCTCCAAATAGTTTCCTCCCCCTGTGCTGCAGTCTGTCATTCCATATGATCAAAGTTTTTTTTATTAGAATTAACTTCTGGCAAGTGTCACACTTGCTTTGCAGTACTCTTTCCCAGTTTGCATTTTGTTGGTTTACTATAAAACAGCAGGTTTGACACCATGGGATGTCTGCCAGCAATGTACAGTATTACAAGGCTGGAATTTAACTTGACCTTTCTGCAAGGGTCGCATTTAATTCCTATTACATTTTTGTGGCTTCAGACTAGTTGATTGTGACCAATGCAACTGGAGTTCAGCTAGCTTTGTGTAATGAAAATCTCCTTTTTTCACTTTATGCTGAAGAAAGGGAGAATTTTAACTGATCTTGTGTCCATATACTAAGTAAACATTAGTAGCTTAATTTAACTGCATTAAAAATGCTACATAAATGCAAGCTGTTGTTTCCTTTTGTCCATGTCTAATGGAAGTCTTGTGCAACTTTTCCCATTGGTTAAGTGCAGATTCTGGCTCTTTTCATTGGTCGATGTTCTACAATCTCTTGCTAGAAAAGAATTTGTGTGCATAAGAACCAAATGTCCTGAATAAAATACTCCTCCAACAAACCCCTGTGATATGCCTGTCACAACTCTGACCACAAAACCCACTACTGATTTTTTTTTTGTAAAATACATCTGCTTCATTAATATCCTTCAGAAAAGGCAATGTCCAATCCTTACCCAGTCTGGCCTGCATGTGACTCCAACAGCAATGTGGTTGACTCTGAACTGCCTCTGGGCAACTAGGGATGGATAATAAATGCTGGCCTGGTGAGTAATTCCCCAAATGATGAGAATGAATTTAAAAAATAAACTCCAGAACATCTTAAACAGTGTCCTGAATTTATAGATGCTTGTATAATTTATCATGGTGTTTGTTCACTCTCTCACAGAGACATGGATTCTCTTCAACAGAAAGTATTACAGTTGATAAGGAGATTCCGGAAAGGATGGTGCCAGTTTCTGGAGCGTGAGAGAACTACTGTTTGTGGTGCTGATAATATGCTTATCGTTTTGCAGCTTGCTATGGCCGAAATAAATAAAGAGGTGAGTTGACATCATCAATAGACTAGAATGAGAATAGAGGAGGCCATTCAACCCCTCTGTCAATGAGGTCTTGGCTGATCTGGGTCCAAACTCCATCTATCCACCTGGTCTCCATAGCCTTTTGGAATCATGGCTTGAAACAGTGTCCCACTCTGATTTGGAAGTATCAATTCAAGTGGGTGCATGTTGCTTTTGATAAGAGAATTCCACGTTTCCACCACTGCAAGGATGTATCTCCTATTCAGTGGCATGGTGGTAATGTCACTGGACTCGTATTCCAAAGGCCTGGAATAACATTGCTGAGCATATGGATTTGAATCGCAATAGGGTTGCTGGTGAAATTTAAAGTGCACCCTAGCATGAGAATGCTGGATAGAGTAAAGGCAACCAGAACAAGAGGGCATAGATTTGAAGGGATGTGTGAAAAAAAATTTCACACAGCAAATAGTTATGGACTGGAATGCACTGCCTGGAAATGTGGTGGAGGCAGGTTCAATTGAATCATTCAAGAGGACTTTGGATGGCTTTTTGGATAAAATGGTGTGCCAGGATTTGGAGACAGGGCAGGAAATTGGCACTATATAATAGAGCCAGACTAAATAAGAGAGCTGATGCAGTCACAATGGGTCAAATGGTCTCTGTGCCATAATAGTTCTGTGATTCTAAATTTCCCAAGGCCAGATTTTAAAGCTGAGTCTCAGACTCTCCAAGCAGTGGACAAAAAAGACTCCTGCTTTCTAATCAACTCCTTTTTTTTTTAAAGTTCTAAAATATCAATGTAGTCACCCTTCGATATTCCATGAATAATTGTTTGAGATTGGCATAGACTCAAGTCGAGGTAGTGCATGGATGACTTGCATTGAAACAATTACACTCAGCATGGTGAAATAGCTTATGCTTGGTATAGTGAATATGTTGAATGAATTGTTGAGAGAAGTAGGTAATGAGTCCATTTAAGGCATTAGTTCAATATTTGATGGTGTGGGGCACATGGGGTGTGGGGTTATGAGGTTTAAGGACCAGAATCCAAAGCTGTTGTCCTGATAAATTAAAAGGTACTATAGAACATAGAACATTACAGCGCAGTACAGGCCCTTTGGCCCTCGATGTTGCGCTGACCTGTGAAACCAATCTGAAGCCCATCTAACCTAAACTATTCCATTATCATCCATGTGTTTATCCAATGACCATTTAAATGCCCTTAAAGTGGGCGAGTCTACTATTTTTGCAGGCAGGGCATTCCACGCCCTTACTACTCTGAGTAAAGAACCTACCTCTGACATCTGTCCTATATCTATCACCCCTCAATTTAAAGCTATGTCCCCTCGTGCTAGCTATCACCATCCAAGGAAAAAGGGTCCCACTGTCCACCCTACCTAATCCTCTGATCTTGTATGTCTCTATCAAGTCACCTCTTAACCTTCTT